GTGTTATTGTTAGCACTTCTCTGAATATTATTCTCGTCAAGTCATTCAACCTATTTTGATGTTGTAGTTCATAAAATAGGTCGATGAAAATCTCCTTCGTCATGCGGAACATGTTTGCAAAGCGTGTCGGGTGGCCCTGTAGTAACTCACTGACTCATTTATCGCCAACATAACTCGATGTCATACATGAAATTCGGTCGATGTATGTAAGGTAGTAGTCGCATAACAAAGTAAGAATAAAAATAATTTTTTTAACGTAGTTCAATTGTTTTGGATTCATCGTACTAAAGTTATTTAAAAGAGAATATTAAAAACCTTTAGCCATTTGAATACATCCATAAAACATATAGATACAAAATTTATGAAAACAACTATATTATATATAAGGAGTGCGAATAAAAAATAAGTTCTAGGAAAACAATATAATAATCCATAATACAACGACTAGGGCTGTAAACGAGCCGAGCTTGAGCGAGCTCAGGCTTGGCTCGTGTTCGGCTCGTTCGAAATAGCTCGTGTTCGAAATCGGCTCGTGAACAGTGTGTTCGTGTTCGATTCGATTTAAATATTTGTATTCGTGTTCGGCTCGAAATTGGCTCGTTAAACTAAAATTAAGAAAAATAGATGTAAAGTGTGAGATTCGAACCTAGGTCAAATCTATACAAAAGAAGACACTAACCACATTGCCTAATGAGATGTTATGATTTAAACTTAGACATAAATATATATAATATATTATTATATAAATAATATATGTAATATATTGTTATATAAAAAGTTATATAATTTTTTTTTCTTCGAGTTAAAACGAGCCGAACACGAGCGAACAAAGAGCTATTCGTGGTTCGTGTTCGGCTCGTTAGGCTTAACGAACGAGCCGAACACGAGCTGCTTAACGAGCCGAACACGAGCTGTTCACGAACAACGAGTCAAATTGACAGCCCTAACAACGACACAAATAATACTAAGAAAACATATTGACAAGAACTTAGAACATTCAATTTTCTACGAAAAAGTGTAAGAAATCGACTCGATATTTTGCATCCAAATTCATAAACAATTATCTATAAACTAAATCTTGTAGTAACTTAACACAATTAATATATAGTTTCTTGTTTGTCTTAACCACATCCTGTGTATTTAGGATTTGAAGACACCCTTCAACGGATGTATCCTGTGAGACAGCAAACTTAACTGTGCAGGATTCAAACAATTTTTTAATTGTGCTTTTGACGAATGTGGTTTCTTTCTTCCTTTTCTCCACCTTGAGCCGTTTTGAAATGCATGTTGATTCACATCCCTTTGGATTTGACAGGGCTCTTCTCCTGAGCCATTTACATGCTCGATTCCCAGCACATCTAGTGTGCCGATAAAGTCATGCTTACCTGGGGTAAAAGCATGAGCTCCCATTGCAACAACCCCACAGCCGACAAGCATATCATCCAACTTCTCTTCCAATGTCGGATCAATGTCATTTAATTTGAATTTTTTAGTTGTTGGCTCTACCTGCACGACATAGCAATTTAGATTAGTTAAATTAGTTTAATATAATTAAAAATGAATTGGGAAAGTGATCAAAGATATGTCATTATCTCTAGTTTCTCAGCCAACAATCCTCAGGAGCATCTATTGTCCGTTTCGTTGAATCCCAGCCCAAACCTGTAGATCCTCTCTTATTTATTTTTATATGTTTCAGTCATTCTTTAATTGATCTCATTTGTTCTTAAATTTCATTCTATCATAGTCACTTCCTGTCACTTTCTTGAATTTGATCATGAGATTTTGTCAATCTTAATTTTTAAAATATGTGGTCGGTCTATTTCTTAGCTCGACCTCCCTAAGATAGAGATCACAGAAAATATTGGTAACATCCCTATTTCACATGGCCGACGATCCAATCTCTTTGCTCTTACTCGTTGTACTACTTACTAGTAAGAGAGAAATTAAAAATGAAAGTGTTCAATAACATTAGCATCAAATATTGAACAAAATAAAAAGGCAACCAACATAACTGCAAAAGAATCCTCTGCAACACCATAAATCATATCAATGTATGAAAAATAATGAGGTAATTAACTTTAAAGGAAGATCTTCCACCAAATGAATAGAAGATTCAATATAAGCATAAGATGAAAAGTCTTAAAATTGAAATTGATAAAAAAAGACTATCACTTTCACACTATCCATATTCACCCAATTTGAACCCGGGGTTCTCCTCTTACATAGAAGATATACCCAATCATCACAAGGTTCTTGACAATCACAAACTCAAAGGAACATAAAATTTTTGGCATAGCCCCATATGGAAGCGAACATTCAAGGTTATTCAAACAATGCTTCAAGAACAGCGTAAAATAGACCATAGAACCTCAAACCAAAATAGGCACCATCAAATTACCATATTTTTTTCTATGTAAAATTGCAATATATAGTAACAAAAATCATGTGTATGTTGACTGATTAAAATGTATGTATCTAGTAGGTTTCTACTACCACTTATCAACATAATTTGAAAGATGAATGAATAGATTATCCTATCTAAATAACATAACTTCGGAGTCTACCATTGCCTCCCACACCTAACAATCTGTCATAACTCTCTTTACAAAAAAATTAACCACAGTATACAACAATCTCGTGTCAAAGCTACCTGAATACTGAATCAATGAGATCTAGGAAACAGACAAAGCATTCAAGATCCTAATTGTGTCGTAAACCCCACAAAATCAAACTTACAGACAAGTTACTTCATGTAAGATGCTAACATCCCAAATCGATAAATTAAACAACAAACCAAAACAACATCACAACAACCTAAAACCTAACAAAAACCCCTAGAAATCTCCCACAAAAAGAAGTGAGCTCCAAAACAACTACCTGATTCGGTCGCCAACATTGGTGTTTACCCGGCTTTGACGACTTGTATCCTGATCTCTTCTGCTTCTCTCGCCGTAGCGCCAGAACAAATAGGCAGAAGAAGCAGTGTTGAAGCAGTGCCAAAGAAGCATTGCGGAAGAGGAAAATATTGAAGCATCAGAGTAAGCTTTGCAAGCTCTCACCTAGAAGAGACGAAACAGAAGAAGCAGTGCCGAAGGAACGCGCCCTTACTTGGAAGAGAAGTGTCGATGAAACCTGGAGCGACTCTGGGAGCTCGATCGCGAACGAAGAAGGAATGCCTAATTCGGGAGGGGCTCGAGCAGAGAGTTCGATCGCGAATCGAGGGCAGCAGAGTTATTCAGGGCTAAACACGACCAAGGAATTGCGGCCCGCGGGGATGATCCCGCGGGCGACGTTATTCGCAAATTAAAACTCTTTTTCAAAACGCGGTTGAAACGTGCAAAACAAACAGTAGGGCGACGTTTCCAAAACACCGCCAACGGTTTTATCTGCCCCAAACAGGCCCAAAATGTGAACACTAGTTAAATTTTTTCACTTTTAGGCTAAACTTGTTTCTCTTATTCTCTCTATCGGATTATTCCGATCTTCTAGTCGTGGACACACGAGTACATACACTTGAATAAGTGCATGTTAATGTTGTAGTGATGCTGCTAATACCTACAATTCTTCAAAAGTATGGTTAAATTAATAAAGCTATTATGCTAACATATTTAAGATGAATAAACTAAATAAAAACTGAATTTAGTCACAGTTTCTATGTTTTTTTTCCTCTTTTACATCAAACTTTTGTGAGAAGTTTTAGATATTAGGATTTTTTTTTTTTCTAATAGTGAAATGAAATTGCTTGGTATAGGAATGTGGTAAGGATATATATGCATGCCATTAAAAGTTTTTACTTCTGTGCAATAATTTTGATATATTGTAGTCCGTCCTTAGCAACTGGAAGTCAGTATTGGATAAGATTGGTAATCAATGTCATGGAAAAGAAAAACTTTAAATACTGATGATTTTTTCTAGGATTTTTTTTATTAATTTGGTGTGTGATTAAATAGTTAAGTATATGAATAACATATGCCTGGATGTAGATGTTTATTTTAGTTGCAATGCAATAATTTTGATTGTCTGTTTAATTAGTCATTGATACTTAGCCTGTTTGTTCTTTCATCTTTTTTTGTTGAATGATTTATTGTGTGCTTTATGAACAATGCAACCAAGTGAAGCTTTCCTTCTTGGAATTACATAAAATCTGTTTTGGGCCTTTAGAAAATGTTAGCCATTGAATTAGTGCATGCAAGGAAATATCATTGAAATTATTACGGTTTGTGCAATTAAATCTTGATAAAATAAATATTTTAAAATAAATGATTTCAGCTGTGTGAGTAAAGAATATCTTTATGTTTCTTTTCTGGAGATTAATGTGCCAAGTGTAAGATGCTTTCTCTGCATTGAAGAGAGGACTGTAGGTAGCCTATTGCATTGCATTGAAGATTTAATTAGAAACATTAATTTCTTCTGTGTATTTTGATTTATATCTTAATCCTAGTTATTATTTCATGTTAATGAATGATTAGAGATGATTGATGCGTTTTCCTCCAGAACAGTTTGGAAATTGAGATCTTAACTCTATTGAACGTTGTTACTCTGCGTGCGCTGCATGATTTTATTTTTCCTTGTCAGACTGAAAGATCTGTGGGGATGTCTTTGGTAAAACTTTTGTTGAATATTAAATTCTCCATGTATGTATCATGGCAAATATATAGTCACTCCTTCCTTTCTAATACTCAATATTTAAAGAATTTTCATTCGTTTAAAAATATTTGTAGGTTAAATTTGATGTATGCTTCTTAAGTGGTTTTTGTTTTTTATTATTAAGTAGTATAAGCATTGTAATAAAAGTAATAAAAATGCATTGATGAAGTTTATATTGATCAACTATATATATATATATATATAAATATAATATCGTTCAAATAGGAAATGTCATTGATATTGGACTGGCATGCTCGTTTCTAAAGAATAAAAAATTGGCGCTACCATGTACCTGAGAAAAATCTACCTGCTTTTACACTTGTGTGTTTTGTTGGGCTATAAATATCTCACAGGTGATTGAGGATGATGCTGAGAAGTGGGAAGGGCTGTCATCAGTTCTTTCTATCAGACTGCTTGATGTTACGGTCAGTAACTTGGTATTCCATTTCACGATATATGCAAGGTTTATATGCATGATTAATGTTGTTGACTTTCTATTCGTGATCATTTATATGAACTTACTTTGACTTTCTAGGCTAAATTGCTGAGGCCGCATGGTTCTTATCAGCTTAATCAGATCGATAGTCATGAGGTGTGTTAATTGACTGCATTGATTGAGTTTGATTTCAAATTGCATTTCATGATGATGAACAACATATTATTTTTTTGCTTGTAGAACAAAAATTATTGTTTCTTAGTTGCATGCTATGTTTTTCTTTATTTAATAGGGTTGAATTGACTAATTTTCTCATTCTGCTTTATGTTCTTTAACAGATGATAGCATAATTCGGAATCGAAAAAAAAATTATATCACATTTCAGGAAATAAAATTGTGAGCAGCATCAACTTTGTCTGTGCACATGATGGATTCACTCTTTTAGATCTGGTCACATACAATAACAAGACTTACTTTGCAAATGGTGAAGAGAACTGAGATGGAGAGAATCATAACTAGAGCTGGAACTGTGGTGAGGTAATTACTAACATGCAATTAATTTATCTCATATATATAACCAATTAATTGTGAATTATTATATTTAAGCTTTTCTAGTCTACTTCCCTTTAATATGCATTGCTTTCAAATTCATCAGTACTGCTGGCTGTATATCTATTGTGCTGACTGTTTTTTAAAGAACTCTTACTCGGTTAAAAATTTAGAGCTTCTGATTTTCTGAAGTTAAAATTTCCGATCCTAAAATTATTCTTCACCATGGGTACAGTTCTAACTCAATGTTAAAAAGCTGGTCTTCTTTTAGGATTTACATTCATGCCATCCAATTCTTACATTTTTACATATCTAACGACTAATATTTTTTTTTTTACTTTTATACCACCCAAAATTTTCATGTCGCATAAAAAATTTCCATTATTTGAACTTTTAAGAAGTGAAATACATCTTTCATGCTCAAGTAAAAAGTCATATATGAAAAATTTGAAGTTGTGTTAGATTTAGAAATACATAAGGATTGAGTGGTATGCATGTAAATCTTCCAGAAGTATAATCTGGTTTCTTTAATTTCATTTGCCTTGGATCTCTGTAAAATGGAAGTTTTAAGACTGAATGCAAATAATTATGGACAGGGCGAAGCTTGATGCTAATCCTAGACTTCTTGACTGCACTGAAAGCTGGAAGCAGCTTGTATTGTAACTGTTGAATCTGGCAAAAATGACCAAGGATCTCGCTCTCATTATTCATGGATCAAAGGTACGCTAATCCCCTGCCCTTAATCTGTAAAATTTTGTTTTGAATTTCATCATCAATTTTACAGAACATGAAATAATCAAATTTTATTGTTTAATCTTATTTTTTGCAGTCTCAGTCGAGAACACTACAAGAACCCTGAAGAATTTATCAATGCAGTTTCAAGGAGCTGAGGGCAAGGCTCACTGGAAAATCAAAGTTGTAATAAATCTTGTTCAAAAATGCCTGCAGCTGAAAGTGAAGATTCTGAAAACTTATAATAAATTGCTCCAGATTTGTACTCAAGATTTTAAATTTCATGATGTAAAATTATTGGGCATTTGCCTACATACCACCCAATTCCCATGTATTAACATATCTATCACCTAAACTTTATTTTTAATATTTGTAACGCATCAATTATCACTTTTTCTTAACTTAATTCATAGGAATTGAGTGGTATGTACGCAAAATCTTCCTAAAATTAATTTTCTTCATTTTCTTTCATCCAATAGCAAGCTAAATGAGCAATTTTCCTGACTTGCTTCATACTCTTGTAAACCAGTCTTGATTTGAACAGCGGTTGCCTCATGAAACATACTAATTCAAATGTAAAATAGTGTAAATTAGAAAAATATAAGATAGATTCATGAAATTTCCATGAGACATACTAATTTAAACGTAAATGAGTGTAAATTAGAAAAATATAAGGTAAATTCATGACAACTCCATGGGTTGTTGGATTACTTATAAATGTTTTCCAATGAACTTTCTTTCAGAGCTTAGGCTGCGTTTGGATGCTGGGAATATGTGTGGAAGGAAATGAAAAATTCAGATCTAAAAGCTAAGATCAATTGCTGACATTAATTCTTTTCAATTTTATTTCATTTCCTTCAGTTTCCTTAAACCCAAATAAAGCCTTAATTTTCAAGTTGAAACATAAATGAAAGATTTACATGCATACAACTCAATTTTTATGTATTTTCATATTGAACAACTAAACTTCAAATTTCACTTATATGCCACTTTCCCTATCCATGAAAGGGTATTTTTAACATTTTTTAAAAGATCAAATATTGATATTGTTATGCGATATGAAAGATTTGGATGGTATAATGTTAAAAAATAAATTTTAGGCGTTAGATATATAAATAAATAAGCCCAACATCAATATGCTGCCAGCTCATGTTGAAATGACTAAGGGTCTATTTGGGGCAGCTGTAGTTTATTAATAAGATGTTCCGCAGAAGCTGTCGTAGATAAGTTGGCTGGTTGTTTATTTTTTGCAGTTTGAAAATAGTTGTGCTGCAGTTGTTTGTTGAAAAATAACTATTCTGCCTCAGCGTAGTAATGTTGTTTGCAACAAAACTGTCAAACCAATATATTTGATACTTTAGAAACAAAAATTCACTTCAAAACAATGCATAAAATAAGATATACACCTCACTTAATAGTATCATAATTACCAAAATAAAACAATATTAAAATAACATTTATTAATATGATAATAATATTTTTAAAATACAGACGGCGTATGTCATGAGCTACATTGTTCTCTAGGGATATTCTTCATTCTCGATTACTCTTGGCAGTGGAATATAACCGAAGAAGTCACATTTCTCTGTGATTCTCCGCGAGCACCTATAGAACTGTCTCCCCATAGTTATGTGGCTGACGTGACGTCAGTAGGGAACTCTAAAGTCCATAGTGACATAACAATCCTCGGAAAGTCCAAGAAATTCTCAAGCTCATCTTTTTTAAATATTTTAAAAGATATATCATTTGACATAACAGAAGTAGAAATTGATAAAAAAAATAATTAATTACAATTTTGTGTAGGAGCGAGGTCTTAGAGAATTCAGCATAACAACCAACAAATCTATCACTACAAGAAAATAACAGACTATAAAAAAAGAGTTCTCAATCGCCTTTAACTCACGTAGTACAATCTTGTGTGTGTAACATATGCATATCACAAAAAAAGGTCATCCAGAAGAACTTCAAAAATTGCAATACCAAAAAGAAGAGAGGAACTTAGTTTCCTTTATTAGGATGTCACATTTGACACCAACCAATAATGACTAACAGACCATCCAGAAGAACCCATAAGGTCAAAAGTCTCATCATTGACCTCTCAAATCACCAAGACAAAAACTAAATAAATGCAAATGGAAAAAGAAATACTTACAAATAACATAAAAAAAAGCAAACAATTAATTTCAAATAAATACGGAAAGAAAATAAACATGAAATCCAACAATAACGTATGTAATCCGCTCTCTCAATTAAATCATTTCCTGAGCACCTTCGTCATCCTGGGTGCAACCCTCTTGTGATTCTACTTCTGCTTGTAGTATAAATTGTTCTATGTGATGTTTAAATGTTTCAGGTGGGACGTGTAAACAATCATCATAGACAATGCTGAAGTCTACGTTATTACGCCAATGATGTTGTCGAATATAGTTGTGGAGAATCATTGTGTCCACTATAATCTGCACCTGCTTCAGAAATGGATATTTAGGCATATCACGCAGTGTGACTCATTTTTTCTTTCACACTCTAAATGTTCTTTAAATTTCACCGTGTAAGGGTGAGTGTCTCTTGTTAAACCTTTCCTTTCTGTCCTAAACAACATTGTTGGGTCTCTCAAATTCAGGAATATGATATTTGGTATCCGAAAATGACTTTAGATACTCCCTTTGTAAGGGATATCTAGCGTCGACCAAATAATATTTCTTTATCGTAAATACAATAATTAGTAATGAATTTAAAAAAATATATAAATATAATTAATAGTTAAACAAAGTTGAAGGTGGGTGAGGGAAGTCGTGCTATTGATTTCTTGTGGCAAAAGAGAATATACGATTGTTATGCGCACTGTCTTCCCAATCAGTCATAATAGAAGTAAAGTGTATGTTGAAATAACATGCAACCATCACATTCTGTGTTGGTGAACCACACCGCTCAATGAATGTGACTCTTTCATTTTTTGATACGCGTGCATCCAAGTGTTTTCCATCGATCACTCCAATACAATTCTAATTAATTAAAGAAGTTCGTGTGAATTATGAATATAATGAGTAAAAAGATTTACCTTAAAAAAAATGTCATATAATGCAGGTTATTTGCAATTTTTATTAGAGTCTTCTCAATTGTTAGATCCTTATGCTTGATAATCTTTGATGACAAACTAACAAGAGTCTTCAACCCCACTATAAAGTATATGTTGATTGTCTCCGATGAATGTTGAAATCGCTTCTCATTAATTCATTCTGTGACAAAATGTAGAGTGCTATTGCTAACATATCTCTATTGTCATTCTAGAGGATCCATAAGTTTATGAATCCTATGTAATTCATCTAGAAGATCTACAAACATGGATTGTGTCATACGAAACATGCTGCTGAATCTTGTAGTGTGTCCTTAAAATTACTCTCCAACCCATTTATCACCAATGTAAGATGATCTCATGCAGAGAGATCGATCTACATATGAGTTGTAGTACTTCTACATCAAACATACTGCTATCACAATTCTCTTTTTGCGTTTCTTTTTTTGTGAATCTATGTTGAACAAGTGCTTTGTTCAAGTAAGACATGTGAATCAAACGACTTTAATGAACTTCGAATAACGAATTACAAAGTGTCCACTGAAAAGAGAAGCATTCAAAATAATATTAACATTGTTCTAAAGAAAAAGAAAAAACATTGAAATCAAAAATATGATAAACCTACTTGTATATAAATACAAATAGTGCAATGATAACTGAATAAATCAATGGTCCCTGCTGTTGTAAACAAAATGTAAATAATTAATTCTACGGTAAGGGGTCATCTTCATGAAAAACTATTTATGGGTCGGGTTCTACAACAACTTCGTAGAGTTCAAATAAAACGACATATCATAAATTTCTAGAGTTGCCTCCAGAACTCAGATAACTTCGTCGACGGAGACCACTTGTGAAGTCCCAGGATCACTTGTGCATTAAGCCACCGATTTTGATATCTATCTTCTAATAAAAGTAACCCCCTCTTCTTTTTCTCTACCGTTGAACGCTTTGACCTGCATGTGGACTCCACTTCATTCTGGATTGAGCTTGGTCTTAAATGGAGTCAGTTGCTTGCTCTGCATCCAAGTTCTCAGGTATGTTTACACACATTTGCTCACTAGGGGTCCAGGCATTAGTCCTCGTTGCCACAACCCACAAAACATATTGTCCAAATTTTCTTTTAGATCAGGGCCAGTACCACTGAATTTGAATTTCTTGACGACTGTCAATACCTGCAAATTAAGGGGACGTGGATATGTTTATTCATTTCAGAAAAAGAAAGTCAGGAAAGGAAAGTCATACATGTATATGCTCGCACCTCCATTCTCTCAGCCCGCCATTCCTCTGAAGCATCAAATGTTCGTTTGATTGGATCCCAACCCAAGCCTGTGGATCCTCGTTTTAATTCCTATTTTTTAGTCCTTTTTCAACTGATTGCACTTATTTTTCAATTGTATCCTATCATATTCCCTTCGCGTCATTTACTTGAACCTTTTCATTATATTTTTCCACGCTTTCTTATTAAAATAGTTGGTAGGCCTATTTACCAGTTGGATCTCCTTAAGACATAGGTCATAAAATATAAGTTTGGCTTTCTTATCCTTGATTGCTGATAAATCGTCTTCTTTTGTCTTAACCATGTGTTACTAGCATTAAAAAAGCTAAACATTAATATTTGACGGAAGAAGTAGCAAAAATCACAGCCACAGATCAACATCTTTAAAAATCACAACCGCACACCAATGCCTTTAGAAATCACACCCACTCCAACCCCACACAACTACACACAACTACACACAACCACATAACTACCCAATCTCCACACAACAATCAACCACACAACATAATCACACAACACAACAACACAACAGACAATAACACAAAACCACATAACACACAACCACACACCACAACCACATACCACACCTCAACCAACTCCTCCACACACCACCACAAAGACCTCAACAAACACAACCACAAACCAGCACTTCTACACCTCCACACACCAACACTTCCACATCTCCACACACCACCACTAACTACACAATCTCCATACACCATCACCAACACTACCATAAACACAACCACGCCAACACTATCACAACTCCACATACAACCACCTCCAAACACAAACTACCACACACCTCCACACACCTCCATACACCACCACCAACACGTCCACAAACACAACAACGCATCAACATTTCCACACAATACACAACCAGACTCACACATAACCACACAACCATTAAAGTAACCACCACCACCACCACCAACAATGTTCAGCCAACCCACCACCAACAATGTTCAGCCAACCCACCACCATGAATCTTCTTTGTCATGACAGTAACCACCGCCAGC